GGGAAGTGGCACCCTGTAGCATTCTATTCCAAAAGCTTAAATGATGTCCAGCGCAACTACGAAATCCACGACAAGGAGATGCTCGCGATCATCCGCGCACTCGAGGAGTATAGACACTTCCTCGAGGGCGCCGCGCACCCTGTCAAGATTTGGACTGACCATAAGAATTTGGAGTACTTCAGGAAGACGCAGCACCTCAACCGGAGACAGGCCCGGTGGTCTCTGTACCTCTCCCGGTTCGACTTCACGCTGCACCACAAGCCTGGCCGCGATATGGGTCGACCTTACGCCCTCTCCCGGAGACCCGACCACGGAGTCGATTCCGACAACTCCGATGTCGTCCTTCTACGGCCTGAACTCTTCCACGTCCGTGCACTCGAGGGGGTTTCCATTTCCGGTCCCAGCTCTGAACTCCTCCGCGACATCCGTGATGCCCTCTCCGGTGAGCCTGACCTGGAGGAGCCCGTCGCACTAGCGGCCCGGCAACTTCTTAAGGTTCAAGGTCAAGCTCGAGGCCCCCGCTCCTCACGTTCTGACGAGTGGGCCGTCTCCGGCGGTCTTCTCCATTTCCGAGGAAAGATTGTCGTACCAAAGGACAAGGACCTTCGGAGACGCATCATCGAGCTCTGCCATGACACCTGAGTTGCCGGACACGCAGGTCGTTTCAAGACCTTGGAGTTGGTCTCCCGGAACTACTGGTGGCCTCAGATGTCTCGCCATATCGGCCGGTATGTTGCGACCTGTGACTTGTGCTGCCGCACCAAGGCACTCCGGAGACTGCCCCACGGAGAGCTGCACCCCACGGAAACGCCCCCGGAACGCTGGCATACCGTCTCCGTCGACTTCATCGTAGAGCTTCCCGAAGCCCATGGGTACGACGCGATCATGGTCGTCGTTGACACCCTCGGAAAGCGCGCCCACTTCTCGGAGTGTCATACGACGGTCGATGCAGTAGGGGCAGCCCGCCTTTACTACCGGAACGTCTGGCGGCACCATGGGACTCCGGAGAAGTACGTCTCTGACTGCGGCTCGCAGTTCATCGCGGACTTCACCCGAGAACTCTGGCGCCTAATCGGCATCAAGCCTGCCACGTCCACCGCGTACCACCCGCAGACAGATGGTCAGACAGAGCGCGTCAACCAGGAGTTGCGGATCTTCACCAACTATCAGCAGGACGACTGGGATGAGCTGATTCCGGCCGCGGAGTTCGCCTACAACAACCATGTTCACTCCTCCACGCAGCAGGTCCCCTTCATGACGGACACGGGACGGCTCCCGCGCATGGGCTTCGAACCCGGAGTCCGTTCCACCATGGAGTCGGTGAACGAGTTCCGCGACCGGATCGCCACTGGTGTTGCTGAAGCCAAGGCCAGCTGCTCTCACAAAGGCCAAAGAGGAGTACAAACGCTACTACGACCGGAGACGCACCCCGTCTCCGGAGTTTAAGGTTGGCGACCGTGTTTGGCTGGATGCCTCTGACATTAGGACGACTCGCCCCTCGGAAAAGTTCTCCCATCGCCGCCTCGGACCGTTCAAGATAGTCGCGGAGATCAGCAAAGGTGCCTACAAGCTCGACCTCCCTCCGCGCTACTCGAAGCTCCACCCGGTCTTCCCCGTCGTCAAGCTCGAGCTCGCCCAGGATGACCCCTTCGACGGACGCCCCGGCTATGACCAGCCCCCTCCGGACCTCGAGGACGGAGTCCCGGAGTGGGAAGTAGAGGAAATCTTGGATGCAAGGGTGAGGTATAAACAGCTGAACTACTTCGTCAGATGGAAAGGCTACGACGCGTCGCACGACCAGTGGGTCCGCTTCGACCGCGTCTTCGCCCCGGAGAAAATTGCGGAGTTCTATCGTAAGTACCCTGGCAAGCCACGACACATCACCTCCGCGACCTTCGACTCGATTCTGGTCCGGTCTATGCGTCGAGACACCGCATTCAAAGGGGGGGGTGATGTCAGGGGAACCTCCCCTTCGGCCCGGAGACGCGCCCGATTCCGGTCCGATTCCGGTTCCAACTCCGGTCCGGCCCTCCATCTCGCCCGCACAATCACCGATCCGTCAACGCCCTCCCGACGGTCGCCCTGGGACCTCGCCTGCGACGCCGCCCAAGCCTTCTGTGCCCGACAGCGGCAGCTACGGACAAGCAGTATATAGTCAGCTCCCTAGCAGGCGGACCCTTAGAGTTTCTTCTCTTTGGATCCTCCCCTGCTAGGTCAGCTTCATTTGTATTCGCTTACCAATGTTCACGCTTTGGATCCTCCCCTGCTAGGACCTTGATCTCAGGCCTCCGGGGTTGCCCTTACAAATATGATCATACATTAAGACCTCTGACTGGCGAGTAGTAATTGACAGTCGCCGTTTATGCCCCAGCTGATGCAGTAAATTTGCTCCAGTGGTTAAGGCTAGTTGGACCTTTCCATGAGAATCAATAAGAACATCTCATGATCTATATTTTAAAACTTTTTTCAATTGTGCCTTCCCAAGACAAAGGTGCATACTGCAGGACATATTAGCAAAGATGTATGGCTTGATGCCAATATATGCAATGGCAGCCTGTTTCCATGAGATATAATTTGTCTGTGAAGATCAGGGCATACTGCAATATCATGGGCCTATAAAGGTGAAATCAATACTAATATACTTTTTCATTGAAATCCACTGGCAGACCATGTTGGAACACAAGAGAAGAGTTTCCATGAGGTCTCCTCGCAGGAACAAAGCAACCTTATGAGCTGCATTCATCCTGATATCTTAGGACAATCATTAGAACTCAAGGGGTATAACTCAGGAACATATTTACCACCCTGCTATATGACAAATGTGTCCACAGCATTCTTTGATGAAGTTCCAATAATCTTAAGAACATTTGAGTGGCTATCACTCTGTGTGAGATAAGGCTCCAACCAAATACAATACAATACTCAATATATTGAGTTATAACCCAATACAATCCATATATATATACAGGGTGGCAAAATTTTTGTAGTATAGAGTATATACTGTATAGATACTCTATACTATTGAGTTTTCTCAGAGGCCTATATAGACAGTATCTGTAGGTTATACAAGGTATTTTCAAGTCAACTTCTTTCAGATAAGGTATTTTCTGAGTCTTTGTTACTATACTTTTTGGGACTATATCTGATACTAAAAGTTCAGGTGCTACTTTAACCACAGCTTCCAACTCCACCACAAACTGACCCATCTAAACAACCTCATTATTATATGAAATTTTCAGTTACATTTCTGTCAATAGGAATTTGTAGTACAGCTCAAGTACAATATCTCATATATCAATCATAAGTCTAGGTTAAACTTCATAATTTCCTTATATGGAAATTTTATCACAATCAAAAGACTGTAAGTATTATAATATGAAGAGAGTTTTTATTTTACTATTACATTTGACTATTAAAAGCCTTGGTTAACCTCAATGTCATCTTTTTGCTGCTCTAAGACTTTCAGGACCTGTAACTAAGATGTTATTATGGTCCCTAGCATATGACAGAACTATACTAGATAGTTAATAACTGTCATATATATAATAATATTTTAAAACAATATATTATCTACTATATACTCAATATATTGGGTTATAACTCAATACTATCCATATCCCAATACAATACAGCCTTGGAGTGTATATGGATAGTAATTAGTTGGAGCCCTAGTGTGAGATATGAAGCAAGCGTCGCAGCAAGGGTAACCAACAACATTCCCGCATTAAATTCAATATCCCGCTTTCGGCGCTACAGATGTACTATGAGCCAAAATGACATTTTGTTGGAGACACATACATTCTCTGCACCAGAACGATCTCGGATCCAGGTTATACACTCTCACAATCACTGCTCGCCCATCGAGATCTGCCCCGTGGAGTCGACTATGTTTGCAGACCACAATTTGGTTGAGCAGCTGGAGTTTTGAAGAGTCAATTTCCTTCGGATGCACATGAATATTGGGAAGGATATTCAGAGATAGGTGATTGGACTTCGACGAAATCGATGGAGGGAGCGGGCATAATGCAGACGAATCGATGAGAAGGAGGCAAAGAACTCGATGCTCAGGCTGTGTCGGCACGGAGCCCCGGAAACGTTCACGACACCACCTGGGAAGGTATGAAGAGCATCATCATCGCACGAACAACGAGGTGCACACATGCACTCCCGTTGGCACGTTGTCCAATCGGATTCGGGCTGTCGCACTGACGAACTCGCAGTAGCACAGGCACTCTCAGGCCGTCAGTGCTGCCAGTGAAGCGGCGAAGATTCCCAACGGGAGCCTAGGTCCCGGACCGAAACACTTGCCCACCGCATATCTGGCTGAAAAGCCAGCATCATTGCCTGAGCGCTGTCATAAACGTTTTTTAAGTTGTCCTATGGCGCCAGGCGAGAGACGCAGAAGCTACGGGAGCAGCGGGGGCTTGAACTGTTCTAGAACGGTAGCCAGGAGCCAGGTGGAAAGCATAGTCAGTAAAGCAGTTAAAGCCATTGTAGCAACAGGACCACGCACCGTGACACCACGCGTAGACGACTGTCCGGGCCCTGTAACTGAGCACCAGCCCGGGCCCGTCGGCTGCCGCTGCAAACAACTAGGGCGTTGAACGCGAGCCGGACAGAGGACACTGCGGCGTTCTGCCCCGTCGTTCTGCCACCCGCCCGGGTGCCAGCGAACGACGCGAAAAGGAAGCCGCGTAAGCACCGCCTCGCGTACGTAACGCTGTGACTGCGTGACACGTCTTTTGCTTCGTACCACCACTCGACCACCGCCAAGGATTTGCTCAGACACGATGGTATTGGCGCATGGATTACTACAAGACCGCGGATCTACGCGGATCCGCCGCAACCCTGCGCCCGGGCCCAGGCCCCCGTTCCTGCCCGGCACGGCTTGTTTACTCAGTGCTCGCAGGCTCAGTCAGCAAGCACTCGTCACTTACAAAGCACCCCGGCGCGGGATACCCGGGAATGTATAAAGCCTGGCTTGACGCTGGTGCCATTCAATGGCTGCCCTCCCCCCGTTTTCCGCTGCGACCACCGCCGAAGAGGCCGCCGACGCGCTCGCGGAGAGCATCCGCGGGAAGAACGGTGCGTGCGCTGACCCGTGGTGGGCGGTAGTCGCTGACATAGAGCAGTAATCGTCACTGGGACGTCGCTCAACGGGATCGGCTTCGAGACCGCGCGTGTGATCGCCAAGCATGCGAGGCTGGTGGTCATTACGGGGCACAGCGATGAGCGGTGTGTCGTCTTTGGGTTGTTTTAATACACCGCTGACATTTCGCGAGGCTGAACCTAGCGGCAGAGGGCATCCGCAAGAGCGTCCCCAGCGCGAACATCCGCACCCTCAACGTCGACCTTGCGTCTCTCGCCGCTGTTCGCAAAGCCGCCGCAGAAGTGAATGCATATACTGAGCCCATCCACGTGCGCAACGATGCAGCTTCTCACTCGCAACCTCCTGACATGGAAAACTCAGGTCCTTATCAACAACGCCGCCAAGCCATGGTGCGACTTCTCGCTGTCTGCCGACGGAATCGAGAGCCAGCTCGCGACGGGGCACGTCGGCCCGTTCCTGCTGACCCACCTCCTCGTGCCGAAGCTCCTGGCCTCCGCCTCCGCCGAGCACACGCCACGTGCGATCTTCGTGTCCAGCATCGCGCAGGCGCTTGAGGGCGGGAAGGGCGTCGACTTCGACATGCTGGTGAAGCCTGATGAAAAGAAATACGACGCGCCGACGGTGTACCACCAGGTGAAGACCGCGAACGTGCTCACGAGTGTGGAGCTGCTACGCCGCACGGGCGGGCGGGTGAAGACGTATAGTCTGCATCCCGGGCGTAAGCCTGCCCCTTTACTATTGAAGAATGGCCCTGACATCTCCCCAGTGATCTACACCAACATGCTCGTCACGCCCCTCGCCATCCCGTTCTTCCAGGCCCTCGGCGCGCTCGACAAGGACGCCAAGCCCACCCCCACCGAACAGCTCTCGTGGAAGACAATCGCGCAGGGCGCCGCCACGTGCGTATTTGTGCCCCTTCAACATCTGAGCATTGGCCTGAATGCCAACAGCACCGTCGTCGCGGCGTTCGACCCGCGGATCGCCGACCGGCCGGGCGCGTACCTCGACGACTGCGCCATCTCCGAGAACGGCGCCGCGCCGCACAGCACGGACCCGGTATGCCCCGCTGGTTTTGCCTTTATTATTCGGCGTACTGATTTGGGCGCAGGAAATCGCGAGGAGGCTGTGGGAGGCGACGGAGGAGCTTGTGGGGGAGAAGTTTGCATTTTGAATTTGAGTCGGCCAGCCATTTGTGTGGATGTCGGTGTATCATCAGGTCTCTGACACGAGCATAATAAACTTGGAGGAAAAACCCAATTGGAGAGTTCACTTTCGGGCGTGCCCGATGGGCGTGGGCCTGCGCCAACGGGCGTGGATGGGCGTGGGCGTGGGTTTTGGCGGGCGATCAAAGCCCACGCCCGTCCATCAGGCCACGCCCATTGGTCGGCTTGGCACGCCCGTTTGTCCTGCTTGGCACGCCGGACAAACGGGCGTGGGCCTTGATATAGTCAGTCCTCTGACTTGTCTGAAGGCTTTTAAAGGGCTTCGTACGGCTCCATCCTTCAGTCGACGAGGCCGGCCGGACTGTGCCAGACCCGCCACTGACCGACTCCGAGTCGGAGCGGACAATAGCTCCACTGGCACGCCAACGGCGCAGCAGACGACGGCGACGAGCGCCAGCTCAGGAGAGCAGGCTACGGTGGGTCCGGTCTGGCGCAGGGGCGGTCATGGGTGTGTCGACGCTGTGCCCGGGTTCCAGGCCCCGGGCTTGCCCCGGCCTGCGCCGACTCAGCGCGCTCGCGAGCCTGCAATCCTGCCGTCCACACGCACAGCTGGCACAAGCCTTAGAGCTTGCAAGGAGCCTGCGTAGAGGTCGAGAGGCTTGCCAAGACAGCTTGGCATCGTGGAAGGCGACGATCAAAGATCTTTGATCGCTGGAAATTACAGTCGACAGGCGCATTCAGATGATGGAGTGCTTTCAAACGGACATCGAGCTATGGTAATAGCTTACTTGTTGCCGACAGTAAGGCGCCGACAGCGTCCCACGCCCGCCCACGCCACGCCCACGCCATCACGGGCGTGCACGCCCGTTGGCGCAGGCCCACGCCGTTTGGCCACGCCCATATGCGATCTCTCACCCGAGAGCTCACTTTTGGGCGTGCCCGATGGGCGTGGGCCTGCGCCAACGGGCGTGGATGGGCGTGGGCGTGGGATTTGGCTGACGATCAAAGCCCACGCCCGTCCATCAGGCGTGCCACGCCCATTGGTCGGCTTGGCACGCCCGTTTGTCCCGCTTGGCACACCGGACAAACGGGCGTGGGCTTCTATATAGCGCAAGTATTAAGACTTGTTACAGGATTTTAAAGGAGCTGGAAGGCTTCATACCACACTATCTTCAGTCGGCGGCGAGATCTGCGAACCGTGCGAGCTGGCGGCCACCGACCATACGCCGTCCGGACCGTGCCAGACCCAACCCGCGACCGACGCAGACCGACGGCGCAGCTGACGACAACGACGAGCACCAGCGGGAACGTGTCGCCGGTGCGCCGGGAAAGAGAACGAGCCATAGCCCGGGCGGGAGACTAAGCTGCGGCGGCCACTGTCTGGCCTGGAGGCTGGCGCAGGGGCGGGCGCGGGTGCAGCATCGACCGCGGCCGCGGCCAGTAACTCTTGGCGGGCCGACGCACCCTTGCGCACCCTTGAGCTCATGTTGAGCACTTGCTCAATTTTGAGACAGCTTGGCCAAGACATCTTGGCACCGTGGTTGACGACGATCAGCACATTTTGATGTGTTTTGATTGAAGCCTCCACGGTGATGCGGACAAGTGACCGCCGCATAACGGTCGTCGAGGCTTCGCGGTCGCCGCCATAGTAGGGGACATAGCCTCTGCGGAGGGTCCCACGCCCGCCCACGCCACGCCCACGCCATCACGGGCGTGCACGCCCATTGGCGCAGGCCCACGCCGTTTGGCCACGCCCATATGCGAAGTCTCATCAGACAACATCTAGATCTGGTATAGGATGGGAAAAAAATTCAAACCAATTTTTGGTTTATGTGGCTGAGTTCCAAAAAAGCGTCGATTGTCTATGATAAACGTCCCACCAGTAACCGCAATATTTTTGCTCTGTGAAAAGAAAGATCGCTGGGTCCCTCCATTACTAAGTGCTGGTCAACGAAAGCAAGACACAGTAGACATCGATCGAGGTCATCTACATACAAGAGTGAGCGAGGAATAGTCCAACGCTTCGCGTCCTCCCGTGATATGAACTTCAGCGGTGGTATGAACATATAGGTTCTATAGGGGTCGGCCTCGAAGGGTAGTTGGAAGGACATGGGCAAGTCGATGGAGGGAGAGAGCAAGGAAGATACGGCGGTGTGAACGAAGCCCCGGAAGCTTTCCTGACCTACCTATCCGCGGTCAATTCATATTGACCGGTTGGCAGCCAGATCGAGATCTGGAAGATTGCTTTGACGCAAGAGCTTCTTTGAATTCGACCGCAGCCATCACTAAGCCCTCAGATTGCAATCGATCGTCGCTGGCTCAGGCACAATGTTTACAAGGAAATCATCACCGTGCGAGGAATCGGGAAACAGGACAACGCACAGATTCAGCGCGATCAGGGCACAATAAGTACTCGTCACTCATGGAGGACGATCAGCATGGATGTACAAATGCCTCCGCAAAGGTTCTGATACGTGCTGAGAGTGTCATCACTGGCAGTATCATCGCACGGTCAACGAGGCGCGTCCACAGACACGGCCTTCGGGACACGGTGTCAACATTGCTGTGGAAGCCAGCCAATCGGAAGGTTGCTCGGTAGAAGGCTGTCTAAAACAAAGTATTTGTCGAGGAATGTCGGATGGGACTTATCGATATCGGACCGGAAGCTGTGGCACACGACGACATAGTTCCAACTTCCGAAGGGTACTCGAGCTCTCTTTCAAGATCAAGCACGATATCTACCTGCAAAAATTGAGATTGCAGGAAAATTCATGCCGAGCTTACTTCAGGCTTCCTTACGTTCGTTTTGTACGGTAATTCAGAGATCTAGAACGATATCAACCTGCTAAGCGTCAGCCACGGTCCACACACGAGAGCGCAGCGAGCGCATTCACTTTCCTCAGCTCTCCCTCCACACGCTTCCGCAACAGCCGCAGAAACTTTACCAACACCGGGAACCCGTCCCGCCGACACGACTCGCAGTCGCCGATCTCGCGGACAGCGCCGACGAGCAGCTCTCCCGCGTCATTTAGCTGTGTGTCGAACGGCAGTAACGGCGCCTTCAGCAGCCGCTCGCCAAGCCAGTCGAGCGTCACGGCGAACCAGCGCGTCGCCGGAGCGAGAGTTTTGCCGGCAAAGGTCCAGTGGCCCATGCGCGGACAGGGCGCGGGGTGGTTCCAGTTGGTGCAGTCGGCCCCGGGGACAGATTCCGAGGGAAGCCAGAGCAGCAACGTTGTCGCGTTGGCAGCGAGAGAGGCGCAGGTGGCGTGATACGTGAGGAGCGCGGGGTAGGTCGACGAGGGGAGAGGTGTTCGAGGAGAGGCGAGCCTGTGAGGGCGGTTGGTGTGTTGGAGTTGGAAAGAGGCTGGTTGCGGCTGCTTCCTGGGGGGAGATTGACGAACTCGCGGAGCGGGAGTCGAAGGGTCGTCCATGCTGCTTCTCTCGCAATGTCGTGCCAACGCAGTCCACATGCGACAACAAAAACCCCGACAACGTCAGCATTGGTCGTTGAGGACAGATGTTCGCGGAGCAAACGTTTTCCGAGGGGCGCCACGGAATCTACTTGGTATTTGGAAATCAAGGCCTCCAGAACTAGACGCAGGTCGTCCAGGGGGTACATCGAGTGGTCTTCTCCATCCAAAAAGAACGAGCCATTCGGGTACAAGAAGCGCAGTGCCTTGTCTAGAACAGCCGCTCGCTCAGAAACATCGACGACAGGCAGTGCCTCGTTTCCGTCAGTCGTCACAGCGGGTCCAGGCCGCTGCGCCAGCGAAAACATGTCGGCGAAGACGGGAGAAGCGAGCGCCAGCACGGCCTTGTGCACGGAAAAGTCGGTGGGCGGGACGTCGCTGCTGCGGAGCACGACGTCGGGTCTGGGTGCGGTCTCGTTAGGCGGAGCGGGGGCGAATGGGTGGGCGGCGTTTGTGGCCATGGGCGGCAAGAGCAAGGACCGCGGAGGTCGTGACCGCGTTACCGCCGCCTTACGTCATTTTTTTTCTTCCTTGACGACGACGACGATGGACCAAGACGAACGCCGCTTTCTTGGAGTGGAGGCTGAGACCGCTGGATGAGTCTGTCCAGCTGTGTCGCCGCTGCGACCTCTCTCTCGCCGCTGCCTCCTCCGAGACTTTCGCGGGCTTGCCGACCCAGTGGCTTGCGCGCAGTAGCCCACGCACGCGCGGTCTACAGATAAGTTGGAGACAATTTGGAGACTCGGCATATACTTGGATTATGGTGCGTTCTCGCCCTCCATTACCAGCTCCACGAAAGCTGACTTTCATCTCATTTCCCTTATGCAAAAGGAGGACTTGACTCGATAACACCACGAGCACGGGCAGTGAACCAGAGTCGAGGCGGAAATCAGCGAGTAAAACAAGACTCCCGAACAATGAGTTAAACCTGGATATTGCGCACTCCCGAGACGATCGAGGACTCAACAACGGCGTACCCAGATCCAAATACACGGCGTCTCTGGGAAATGTGCAAGTGTGCTTCCGCATCTCTTTGAGTACCCACACTGACATCCGATAACTTTCTGCAAACTATACGTTCAATTATTCAGCCGTGTAAACATCCGCGCCGACAGCAGCACCTCGACCTCAACCTTCACCCTACGTGCAACATCCGCGTCTACGCGTCCTCTGATATTCGGCCCAACCAGCTTCTCTGGATCGGTAATCGTGTTGTGGCAGTGGACCAAAAAGCTGATTGTTTGCAGATTCTCAAGCCGCCGCAGCTCGCTGTTGAGGTGCGCCCAGTCGAGCGCGTCGAGCATGTAGATGTAATCGATCGTCAGAACGAGCGTCAGCGTTTGCAGCGCCTTTGTTGCGGTTGCGAGCAGGGCCCACGGCGCATGCAGGCGGGTACGGCTTGGCGCGTGGAAACGACGCAGGCCGATGTGAAGTGTCAAGTCGGCCAGATGCGGGGCATGCACAGCAAGCGGGAGATGTGTGCGCGCCTCTTGCTCGGTGACGTGATTCAGCAGCGCTAAATCGAGTTGTCGGAGATTGGGCCCGACGGCGGCAAGCAGTGCCCCTACGGCAGGGAGAGCGGAGGGCCAGAGTGTGCCTGCTTCCAGGGTGCGGAAGGCCGCTGGAGGGGAATTGGCAAGCCACCGCGCGATATACCCGAATGGATTGCCGTCGTCGGAACGTATCTTCGTCCGAACTACGGCAAGGGTGGTTGGTGGTGGCAATGCACCGTCGTGAGCCGCAGATGTCTCGTCTCCGTCAGTCAAGAACGCCCCTTGCACCGCGACTTCTTCCAAATGCACGAGTCGGCCGACGAGCGCCGTAAAGTCGGCCGGTGAGCCGAAGGTCGTGAATATCGAGACAATCTTGACGAGATTTGGAAAGACGTTAGCGAGCATGTCAAGCGCTTCAGTCGGAACCCCGACCCAAGACACGAAGCACAGATGTAGGCGGCGCACGTGCGAGAGCGCCGCCAGTCGCGGGACCAGGTCACGGAAGGCGTCCGCAGAGTCAAGGTCCGTGTCAGGTCGGTTGATCGACAATGTGTGGACGTGCGGGAGGAACGTGAGCGCCTCCGGGGTCGTCAACAGCTCGAGAAATGGGTCGTAGTTCTTGTCCCGCAGCACCACTTCGCCGAACAGGAGTGGGCGGCTCAGCGCAAGCCAGCCTCTATTCACGAGCCCACAGGCTGCGAGAGAGGGTACGTCGTCGTGCAGGTGTTGGATGAAGAGGTCGTCGAGCTCGGGAGGAAATATCGCCAAGCTCATCGTGGTTAGAAGTAGGGCTGGGGATTGATCGATTTTAGCCTGGTATTGATACGGTATCAATAGCCAGCCACGGTCGTATGGTATTGTACCAGTATCAGTATTAATCAATGTATTGATTGTATTGATGGGTATTGATGGTATTAATGATGTATTGATGGTTTTTTGATCTACGACCAAGAAGGAGAGCCTACCACATCCGAGCTTTGGCATCCAACTTCACCGCAACCCATTCCTTCGCAGCCTGTTCCTTTTGTTGTACCTGTTTCTGAGTAATTGGTGCCAGAGGCTTTCCGTCATATCGCGCAAGCAGTTTGGGGGTGTCAAGATTAACCAGTTCTTCGATGTCGAGACGTAGTGCAGTTGCTGCATCTCCATATATGCCGCCGCTACTTAGAAGAGACAGGGCTGCGAGCGTGACAGTGACAGCGTCAAATGACTCGGCTATCAGAGCCGAGTAAATTATATCCTTATCATAAGTCGGGGTCGAGACTTTTGGTAACATAAATATTTCGAGCTACACAGGTGTAGCCTAACATTCGACCCAGTAAAATGTTCTCAAGAAAGTGAATCACGCGCCCGCTCACGAACATTACTATTACCCCACTCTGTACTAAGTATATTTTCAACAATTTCCAGATTTTTTGGACAATTTCATCAAATTTAGTAAAATTTTGAAAAAGATTTCTTAGCCAACAGAAATTTTATGAAATTTGAAACAATTTCTCAGGGAGCTTTTTCCTGATGATGTTACAAATTGGTAAGTGTACATGAACAACAGCAAAGCCCAAGCCGACATTTACACTATATTAGTGTTGACTAGGGCCGGGCCCAAGCCCTGAAGCCCAGCCCGGCCAAGCCCTCGGAAGCCCGGCCCAGGCCCGGCCCTGGGGTGGGGCTTTAAGGAGGGCTTCAGGCCCCAAGCCCTCCAAGCCCCGCCTTAGCCGAGGGCCGGGGCTCGGCTTCCTCCCAAGCCCGAGCCCTGGCAAGCCCGGCCCTAAACAGGGCTTGGCAGGGCAGCCCGGCCCTAGACAACACTACACTATATACACTATCAACCACTGGCATCGTTGCGCTACAACCCCGCTGCAGCGACGCACTCATACTCACATCGCACAAGTTCCACAAGTCGTTCTACCCAACGATTAAACATCACAAATCGCGAAAACAGCCTTGTACGCTCTCGAGCTCAAGCCTCACAATAACATTGACTTGATCTGGACAGTGTATGTGTATCCCGCGCTCGCGCGAAAGAATTCAGGGCCAACTAGTCGTCCGTTCCGAGTCGGTCCCACAGGCCGCCGCAGACATTCATGCGACTGCATAGTGTAGGAGATGGGTACTACTTATGGGAAGGGATAGGGTATGGAGGCGGGCAGACAACAGAGAAATGAGTTTTACGACTCGGAGGTGTGTTGTCTCCGCCCTCATTTCAAGTTCATCCTCCCTAACGCCGAGTGTTTCGAGCAAAGCAGTTACTTACATATGTGGGTAATTCATTGGCATTCTGGGCTCCATTCACCTGTCCCCGCGGTCCTACTCACGAATTCAAATAGACGTCCACATTTGTCAGTACACGGCTGTCCTCCATGAATGCTGTGGCTCATGCGGCAATCTTCCTCGCCGCGGGCCCGCCAATCATACCGCCGACCAACAAATCTGGGTTGGGCACGGTAAAATTCCCGAAGCACCCCTCTGCAAAGTCGATCTCCCGTATGCGCTGCTTCATCCCCGCAACGAAGGCCTTGAGCGGGCAGAGGCCCGATGTGGAGGCCGCGCAGCCCGCAATGCCGGTCAGCGGAACGACGGCATCGTTGAGCAACCAGCGGATGTGCGTTGGAGAAGACGCAGGGGAGGCGGGGGAGGGGCAGGAGAGGACTTGGCCAACGAGATTCGCGCCAAACGGCGAGATTTGGTTCACAATATACGACTGAGACGATTAATCAGTTGAATTGCAAAGGACTAGCACATACACGATCTTTTGGTATGTGTGTAGAGGGGAGGGGTCCTGTCCGTGCCATGCTGGTGAAGTTCATAGCCACAACGACTGCAACCATCAGCGTCAACAAAAATGAGGGCCGATCCTGGGACTGGACGAACTTGCGCTTATAACCGTGTCGTGAGTCGCGTCGACGTAAATTGGCTGGTCCAGTGGGAAGGTGATGTTGCTGCCCACGATGGTCGCGTTCGTTGTTGTCGTCGATGCTGCAATGCTGGGCGGTGTCTCAGAAAGGGCTCCCCCGGATAGGAGAGAGGAATGTACCGTTCCCCACTCAGCCGAGACACCAGCTCTTGCACCCATCCAACACCTTGTGCCGCGACCGCCGGGTTTCCAGGCCCGTTGTCATACCTGTAGAAATTAAGTTCCTGAGAGGAGGCCGATGCCAGTGGGGGAAAGAAACGTACCAGAAGGATAAGTCCACCGAGTACTCATATCCATTCCACTCCTCCTCCGTGAACAGGTCGCAGAACGCGGAGTAGCCAAGCGCAACAGTCTCGTATGCGCACGTTTGTTGCATAGCGAACAGCCACGTCGCGTTCAGCGCCAGGCCAGACAAGTGCGGCGCGAGGCTGAGATGAAATAAGCTTCGTCAAACAGATAGGTCGAATGGGTGGACGACGCACCGCTTTTGAGCGTTTTTGAGGTAAACCTCTGCCCACGCATTGGTAAAATTACTTGCGATACCCGCGACGGCGTTGTTCGCATTGGCACATTGCTCATACGGAGCCAAGGTGCCTGTTAAAATCCCATCCAGTCTGAGATCTCATAGGAGAAAATGCGTACTGTTGAACCCCAGCGCCTCGATCTCGATGAGCTGGTGGTAATCCTTCGCAAAGTCCTGCACGCCGAAGAAGCCGGCGGCAAAATGAAGCGCCGAATCAAGCATGCGTTCTATAGGAAAGCAATCAGATTCAGGAGTGCGCCACGGTCGGAGGAATCCTACCCTCGGAAGTCGTGCGCCAGACGGGCAGCTTGCTGAAGCCTTTCAGAAGGTCGCCTGAACGGAGTTAGTCGAGGCACGGCCGCCGAAGGATCAAAACTCGCCATATTTGACGCGGAATCCCACACCCAGTTCGAACCTGTTTATAATTAGCTCTCCGTCCCACGCATCCGAACGCAGAACACACGCACATTTGACCCCTCCCGAACGGCGTGAGTATTTCTGCTCCGAGTTTATATGTCCAAGTATTCAAAAAGGCGAGCGGCCCGCTAGCGCTGAGCTTTCCAGAGGCTGCAACAGCATTGAGAGCAGCGGCGAACTTCGACGGCGCAGCCCCGGTTGTTGGGTATCGCGCGCCATGGCGGTGAAGAAGATGGACCTGGTTGAGGGAGCACCCAGCGGGCAGGCGCGGCGAGCCATTTGCGACGCCAAATGCTGATTTTGTTGAAGCCGAAGAGGAAGACGGCGAGCGGAATGGCGAGAGGTTACCCCAGGAATGGATGACCGAGAAGCCAGACAAAGACGGCGCGTGGTCCTCCGTTCCGGGCTCGACAAGCGGGAACGTATTGTCGTAGACAGGAGAGACGGGGGCGGTGGCAATTGCCAAGGCTTCGTCGCCGGCTAAGCAGTTGAAGTCAGTCGCAAACTCGGAGGATAAACGAGCAGGGAGCGCACTTGGAGTTGGCCCAAACACGTTGATTTGGGTCCCATCCGGAAAGTCCGAAGCGTTTTCGGTCACGCTTGCTCCAGTTGGCGGGAACGCGAAGGTCTGGGTCGACCCAACGAAGGAGGATGCTTTTGAGGCCTTGTCAGTCGTGCCAGAAGCTAACTGGGCAGAGAGGAGGACGAGCGAAGCGACGGGAAGCAGCATCGCGTGAAGCGGGGCCATGAGAAGCCGGGATGACTGGCTCTTTTATTGGTGAAAAAGTGTGTGTGCGTCGTACGATTGTACGTTAAGGCGAACGTGCGCTTGTCGAGCTAAAAATAGTGTTCGCTGTTCCACATGCGGCGGCGGTCGTGAAGGGTAATTGAGGTCTGGTCAGGAACGCATTGGTGCATAGACTCCGGAGAGAAGCGGCATTTGGTACCGTGTATGAAGAAGCGCCGGCATGGTGGTGCAGAAGAGAAGAGCAGAAGATTTGTCATCTCGGCTGAGATCGCGCGATCAGCCGGATGACGGCACTGATGATCATAATCGAAGCTTGTCAGGACGATAAGACCATGCGACATGTCCGACATGTATTGGTGTTTTGTGGTTGCCCAAAAGAATTAAGCAAAAATTCTCCCAAAAAGGAAAGAGAAAAGAAAGGGAATTGTAAGATTCTGGATAATGCCCGTGTTATATACATATACTATACTATTTCAATTATTTCCTCACCCCCATGGTGCATATATCACATGTTTGTTGTGCCTTTCCAAATTCCCACTGGCAACTTTAGTTCAGAGTCAGTTTGAAAAATTGCCTTTAAGGGTTAGGCAAAGTTTCGCCAGATGCACATGACTAAGAGAAACATATATTGGGCACAGCCATACATCATGAAGTATTCAAAAAATTAAAATACTGTACACTACTGCTTCTGTATATGTATACTGTATATTTTGTTATATGGCTTGTGATTGGAATATTTGCTTTTAAAAAGTTTTAAGCTACTATAGTAAATGTACTTATATCACTTGATACTGTGACGTGACGTCGACAGTTTACTATAGCAATAAACAGGATATATATGCTTTAGTCTTTGCTTAACTTGTTGAAGTACTGTAGTATTTAAATTGTTTTGTCAGTCATATGTCACGCCCCTGGCTGATCCAACAAAAAAAAATTTGTTTGTCACAGGATGTGGACAAGTGCGACAAAATGGTTCGGCTGAAAGCAGCTCAGGCCAAAGCTGCTACTGTATACGTAAGTGTACTTAATTCTTACATTTCATTCCACATTATAGGCTGCAACAGATTGAGAAACATTGAATATCACTGGCTCATACCACAGTTTAACCCAACCTAATGATTTACTGTGAATGCCTAGCTAAATGAAAGCTCCCCACAAGTGTCTATACCTGTTAGGCAATAGCATGAGTAAACCCCTGGGTATCCAGAGTCTTACTCATACTCATACCTGCACAGCCACTATACACATACCCATGGGTATGAGTATGAGTAGTCATGGATATGGGTATGGGTTTTACTCATGGGTAGTATCAATTCTAAACCCTAAAAGACTTATATATTGTCTAGTTTAACTCCATTTTATCCTATCTGTCCTCTAACTCAGGCTTATCCTTACATCCTCTTTATATAGATGACTTATTAGGTGATACACGGTGTACAAAAAAGTAACCGGACGATTCAATTGTAAATGACATCAGTCGTGGGGCCGCCCCGACGCGGTCTCTAGTCAGCCACAACCATGCCCAAGTCCTCCCAGTCTCATCGGAGACCTCGTCCCTCATCCAAGCAGCTCGATACACCCAAAAAGAACCGCTTCATTGGCTCCATGATGGCCAACGAGAACATCTCTGAGAACGCGCGTCTGCATGACATTGCCAAGTCAACAGCGGGCGATCTGTGGTCCAAATGGCAGACACATGGGACGACAAACGAGCTCCTGCGAGGCGGCCAACCCCGCGAAACCGACGAGAACACGCTCCCGGAGGCGATTGCCGCATCGACAGGCTCGGTCGAGACTCGTCGCAGACCGCTTTTCGGGACATTGCCAACGACGTCTCCGCGGATGTTGGCGCTGAGACAGTACGCCTGCTGCTTGCCTCCGATGGTTACCATCGCCGCGTTGCCCAAAAGGTCCCCGCGCTGAGCAAGACAACCCGGGCGAGAAGACTGGCGTGGGCAAAGGAGCACGCAGCGCGCAAGTACGACGAATTTGGACATGTCTTGTGGTCCGACGAGGCCTACGTCATCCTCGGCGAGAGTCCACGACGCATCTACGTGACGCGGAAGCCGGGGGAGGAGATGCTGGAGGAGTGTTTGGTGGAGGTTGCGAAGCAGTCGTCGGTGCGAGCGATGGTCTGGTCCTGTATTGCGAAAGGGCAGAAGGGGCCCCTGGTGATTCTGGAGTATCCTGGGGGCAAGGGTGGCGGGATGACGGCGCTGCGCTATCGCGACCAGGCTCTCGAGCCTATTTTACAGCACTTTTTTGCTGATCTTCAGCTCGACGACGGTGAAATGATGTTTCAGCAAGATGGGGCAGCCTCACATCGCGCGAAAATCACCCAGAAATGGCTCGCTGACCACGAAATCCCCATCTTCCCCCATCCCGCGACATCTCCGGACGTGTCTCCCATCGAACCTTGCTGGTGGGAGCTAAAAAAGCGTCTCCGAGCACGCACACCACAGCCAAGGAACTACGAGGAGCTCAAACAGGCACTCAAGGAGGAATGGGACGCAATTCCACAGCGCGACATCGACAAATACATCGATCGCATGCCCAAGATTGTTGACGCCGTCATTGCCGCCGAGGGCGGCCACACCCGCTATTAACCACTATTTCGGACAAATTCCCTTTATTACTTGTCATATGTACCCATACAAGTTGTATCTGTAGTGCCTGCATCAAAAGAATGCGAGTTCACAATATCCGAATTCAGCGTGCCGTTACTTTTTTGGACACCTAGTATATGATCTTTATATGATATATCTTATCTAATCTACCCATGGGTCATGTGCCCATGGGTTGGCAGGTAGGGAATTTGCAATCTATACCCATATCCATGCAGGTAAAACCCATGTACCCATGCGGGTCTGCCACCGATCCTGCCCACTTATCTCCTCTAGTTACATCCTCAGGGGGGGGAAGCTCTAACTAGAGGGGATAATAAATATCTGCTGTGTTTTCTTAAACTCCTTTCTGGATGTTAGTAGATAGGATGTTAGTAGACAGGGAGTCTTTGGGGGGGGAAGGGGAGGCCGGCTGGGGGAAGCGGGCTGGGGGAGCGGGCTGGCCGGAGCATCAATGGATGATCACCGGATGACACGATGATGGTGAAGGTCATCATCACTGTCTACTGTCAAGTCCCGCCCTCTGCCCGCCCTCCCCCACCTCATCTCATCACTGGCATCAAAGTTGCTGATGGCTGTTGATCTTGGGTCGCCCATGGTCCTGCCCGCCGTCCCGATCTGATGGCGCATCAAAAACGAAAGTTGTGAATACTCTGCTGCTACCAAATGTACAAACTGTTTATCAATAGCTTGAGTAGTTAAGGAGATATAAGCCTTTTGATCCAGTGATGGCTGAGTCTGAAGTTAGTAGACATCTCTTATAAGGGATATTTGGAGGATTTTAGTATAGTATGGTAGGGCAATTTATTATTTGGGTGTCAATATATAAGTCTCTATAGAAGGTGTTGGGACTGTCAGTAGAGGATCTGAGACATAGTTGGCAAGGAGGGTGCATACAATTTATGATGTGCACTAACCTTGGTTGGGAGGGCATCTGGCGGAGGGGAGGGGAGGTTGACAGATAGGCCATAGAATGTCTTTCATCCTGCGGAAGTCCTGCACTTATGATAATATAGTTAATCATGTCTACTAACTTCCCTAGCACAGAAGTTAGTGGACATCTTTCACCACTTTGGTTAAGGAAGTAGCTGGTAGAGGAATACTATTGCCACTTTAGTTAACCATGTCCACTAACTTCTGTACACAGAAGTTAGTAGACATATTTTATAACTTTGGTTGAGGAAGCAGCTGAAAATGCACAAGTGTGAGATGTCAGGCCATGGAGGGTCTACTTGGAGCACTTTTATCCTGCAGAAATCCTAAATTCATCATAATATAGTTGAGCATGTCTACTAACTTCTGTACCTGTGAAGTTAGTGGACATCTTCAGCCACTTTGGTTGAGAAAGCAGCTAGTGGAGGGATATATGATATGACAGGTTCATTGACATCTTTTTTCTGCTACTGAAGTCCCAAATTGATGATAGTTTAGTTGACCATGTCCACTAACTGTCAGGAACAGGGCCGGCCCGGGCCCACGTGACGGTCTCCTGCCAGTCTGACAAGTGTGGGAAAGATGGTTCACCCCCCATAGCTGGGTGGTTGGCAACCAGGCAGCGTAGATGGTGCCACTGCTGCAATAGAGAGCAGGGTAGGGACAACTCGGGGCGACTCGAGACGCCCCGCTGTCACGTTGTGTGACAGCGGTGTCACAGGATACGAGTAGTCGCCTAGAGTGTCCTGCCCCTGCTGAAGGGAATGAGTCCATAGCCAAAGAGTGCTGCCTAGTAGAGTCGGTGCCCAAGACATAGGGCAAGGCATAGGCTGGGCCAGTTGAACAAGCCGTTCGGGCGGGGCGTGACGTAACGCGGTCACGCCCGACGGTTCAGGGGGTCGAGGGGGGTCGCCCCGCAGCGGGGGGCTGCGGGCCCGAGACCTCTGGAGCGCTTGAGAAGGGTTGCCAGTCCAAGGGGCAACATATCTCCTTTCCTGGAGAAACGAGTCGCTGTGGCTCCTAGACACCGCGTGACGGCGCGGTGTGACGCGTGACATACGGGCCCGATCGGGCCCGCACTCTCCCATCGCCCCGTACCAGGGGAACCCAGAGCTTGAGGCTAGAGAGCAAGAAGAAGTGGCTAGGACAAGGGTGAACATAAGAGACAAGAGCCTGAGCTGTCCAGCCCAACCAAGGGCTCAGGTCAATGGGGCAAGCTAGCCTGGAGTGTTGGAAGTCGTCTAGACGCCCCTTTCCTAGGGTATGGTCGCAGCAACCCCGCTCTAGGGGACCAGGCCGGAGTAGGGTTCAAAGGAAGAGACTTCAATGCTAAACCTAAGGTACAGGAGTAATACTGTAGTCTTTATATACTGTGGGCGCTAGGGGCCGATCGGGCCCGCTGAGGGTCGATCAGAAGGGAGCAGGGGATGTCTCTGGTCGTCC